GGAGGGAGCTCTGTCTTCACTGGGGGACCATTTGCTTCTATCTCCTTATTAATTGCTCTGGGAGCCCAAAGCATATTAAAAGCTGCTTAGTGGAAGGAGTTCCCTACCTCTGGACTCTCCCCCTGCACGTTCCTGTGCTAGTTCTGTTCTCCCGCCCAGCTTTCACCACCTGGCTGAGGGACAGGGATGCCTCGTGGTTAGGAGAGCAGCCTCTGGAGCCACACTGGCCACAGTCAAATCCGAGTGTCTATCTCTGCTCACTATCTGTGTGATACTGGGCCGGTTTCCCAGCTGCCTGGCCTCAGTGCCCTTGTCCGACATGTCAGATAATATTGGTACCTCCTAGGTGAAGAGGAAGCGAGTCCATGGGTATACTTAGCCTGGAGCCCCGTGTCTGGCACGTACTCAACCCTGACCAAAGGGGGACTCCACGGAAATGCTAATGGTGATAATGATAGTGATGGTGATGGTGGCACTTAAGTGCACACTGAGCCCTAACACTCACAAACCATATTTTGGGACCATGAGTAAGCATTTCAACTGCTCACCCTTGGTTTGTTTATTTCTCATTTCTTCATTGGTTTACATCAATGAGAATACTACTGTCCATCTAAAGCAAGAATTATCTAATCTTTAATACCAAAAATATGATTAAATAAAAATAAATAAGAGTTACCAAACCTACAGCCTGTGAGCCAAATCTGGCCTATACCCTTACCTCTCCTCCCACCTGACAAAGGGAAAGTGGAGTAGGTAGTGTAATTTTTTCAGGAGGCATAAAGAATTGTGCTCCTCCAAGCTGGGACAGCATCAACAGCCCAAAGAATGACTCAAGTCCAGCTTGAATGGGCAAAAATAGGGGTGACTTAGAGAGTAGTGGACAACTGTGGAAGACAGTATTTACCTGGCCTGGTCTGTATCCGAGGAGCTATTACTCTACCCAGACTCTCCCAATCCCTAGAAGTGGCCAACCCTCTCCCCCACACCCACTACCACCACCACCATACCAAACTTCTCTTATCTGGCTCCAAGCCATGGCAGAAATCTGGACTAGAGCACTACCTATGGTCGAAAACAGAAGAAACTGCAGGCTCAAACAGGAAACTCAGACTCTGGGAAAGACACACGTCTATGCACACTGCATCCTTGATTTCCTCAGTCTCACTGACATAGACCAACACAGTCCCACTGTAGGAAGGAAGCTTGTGCTATAGTCTGGCACAGAGAAAACCACATAGTGGCTTGCTGCAAGATGGAGTCTTTGGCTGGAAGTGAGAGGACCAGTCACACTATACAGTACTTGCAGTATGAGCTGTTTAATTAGGAATACCATAAAACTATGTAGTTTGTGTATGTGTTTTTATCTTGAACCATACATTTCCATATGAACCAAATTTACCTTTGAATATTAGTCTACAGCAATTGATAGAAAAATCTGTGTCCCATGCTATACTTTATGGCTGGTATACGTCTCTTTCTCAAGGGTAATTTTGACATTGACTTTCCCTTGCTTGATGATTTCAGTAACTAACATCAAGGAAGATGTGACTCCCCTCCAAATGGCAATGAATATTATCTACTTCTAGAGCAAAGTAAAATGGAAGCATCAGATACTTCTAACCAGAGAAAATAAATCTAAGTACAGATAAAACCTTTCTGAAGTCACAAATGGAAGAATAGTATTATATTTACAAAAATTCAATGCATGTGCTTCTCTTTTTGTTTCCCCAGACACACATCCGAAGTGCAGTACACATGTAGCATTTACGTTCAGCCTTATTTATGGCTTCCTAGCTGATGCAGGCAGGTCACCTTGCAAAATGTAGAGAGCACCCCTCTAATTCTGCAAGCAACATGTATTGATATTAATACCACCTTCCACTTCCCTCCCTGACTTCTTGTGAGAATAAATGAGATATGGGAGGAAGAGACCCAGAGAGGCCAAGTGTAGTAGCCAGGTGCAGTGGAATCTGGGTACAGCCCTTCTGCCCTTGGCAAGAAGCAGCCGTCTCCACATGCAGGAGCTACCTGTGGGAAAGATGCTTCGGGATTTGAGGACCAGCCCAGGCCATCTTCTAGAAAGGTTAGATAACAAATGCTCGTAATTAGAGCGAATTATCTTCCTTGGAAAATAAGCAAATTATTTTCCAATTTAATGAATAAAGACGCTTCTAATTAACTCCAGTAGAGAGATTTGCTTTCAAATCTCAGTAGCTGAGCTCTGTGTTCTGTATATTAATATTTTGCTTTTATGGGCCACCTTGATGTTTTATTTTACTGTGCTTTATTGGTATGATGGAATTTTAGGAGATAAAAAGCAACCAGAGATGATTTGGACTAACTCATTTAAAACAAATAACAACAACAGCAAAACAACAAAAAAACAGAAGGCAACTATGGCCCAGAGAGATCCTGTGACTCATTCAGAGTCCCATTGCTGCCCTGCTGTCCCCCAGGACTGGATCCCCAGGAGGCAGTGTGACCAGCAAAGGAAGGGCCTTGCCAGACTGGTGCCGCCTTGTTGGCCCCTGGATGGGTTCTGCTTTCCTCCTCTCCTTCCTATGCTCGGAGTTCGGCCAGGCCCTGCTAGCCTCTCACCCCCTAGTGACGCTCCTTCTGTGGTCAACAACACTGGCCTCCAGCACTCAGTCCCTTCTCACTCAGACTCTCCTTAGCTCTGCATTGTGTGGGCGAACTCTGCCCAGCCTCAGGGCCCACTTGGCCTCCTCAGGCTAACAGCTGGGAGCTGTTCCCTCAACTCCTGCCTCAGAGTCTCGGGGTTCCTGAGACCACCTTCAAATTGGTCCAACTACCAATGGACCCTGGGAGCTTGTTAGTTAGTTTGATTTGTGAGTGTGGTTAAATTAATAACCTTTATTTTTTAGGGCAGGTTTAGGTTCACAGCAAAACTAAGCAGAATGTACACAGTTCCCATATGCCCCCATCTCCACTATCTTTATTTTTTTTCTTCCTGTACTGGGGTTGGAACCCTGGACCTGTGCATGCTAGGCAAGTGTTCCACCTCTGAGATGCACCACCAGTTTCCCACTATCTACACTTCACATCACAGTAGCTTATTATCTTGGGCTCTTTTTCATCTCTAAGTCTTGGATTCTTTGTCTTAAGGTGGAAAAGAAACACACACACACACACACACACACACACACACACACACACATACACACACTCCCAGAGAGATGCAAAAAATCAGTTGTAAGTGGGTGTCTGGAGCACCTTAAGTCAATTTCAGATCAGTTTCCTCTGTCCTGGCATCCTGGCATCTTTGTGAGTCTGCCCCAGGGTAGGTGACCCATGGCTACTTACAGCATCATGGCTCACACAAACAGGATTTGCCCTGCCCTGCCCTCTTTCCTCTCCAAGTCCAAATTCCTGGGGCTGTGGTCCTGATTTGGTGGGGCTGGGCCAGGGGATCCATCCACAGTTGAGCATGCTGAGATCTGAGTCACTGACAGTCATGGCTTCCCTGGTCCTCGTCCTGTGAACAGGAAGGAGAGGAGCAGAGAAGAAGTTGTTTGGGGGTTATTTTGAACAGAGAGATGTCTTGTCAGCTTTTCATTACTGTACCACATTCCTGATAATCAACTTAAAAAGAGAAAAGATTTTGTTTTGGCTCACAGTTTTGGAGGGTTCACTCCATGGTCAGCTGGCGCATTGCTTCTGGGCCTGTTGAAAGACAACACATCGTGGTAGGAGTGAGGCTACTCACCTCATGGTGGCCAGGAAGCAAAGAGAGAAGAAGAAGGGCATGGTTCCCAAGGTGACTTCATTTCCCCCAGCAAGGCCCTATCTCCTAAAGGTTCTTCCACCTCATGATATTACCAAAGGCCAGTGGCCAGGTGGGCCTTTGTGGAACATTCAAGATCCAAACTGTAACAGTACATAAGCTAAAAGATGGCTGCCTTACCATCCTACTGCATACCTGTACTCACCTACAAATGCTCCTGCTGCCCTTTTACCTGAATCCTTTTTTGTATTGGCTCAAGAGTTTGGCCATTGCCAGAAGTTCATCCTTGGGCCTCTGCTCTTCCTTTGTTTACACTTTCTTGGAAAGAGCATCTCCCTTTGGTCTTTATCACCAGTTGTGACACCCCTGTCCTTCATGCATGTGTAGACCCACAGGAAGTGACCACATCCAAAGACAAACATCTTTCCTGTGAGACTTGGTCTCGATCACCTACCTCTCACTAAGCTGCCATTAGGCCCTTACCTAATGGGACACGTGGTTGTGGCATTGTCACAAATGTCTGGGCAGCTTAGGAGACAGTGACAACATGCAGCATGACTTCCAATTTGTATTATAAAACAAAGCAATCCGTTCATCTTCCAGCAAGGAATCATTTTGGTGGACACGTCCATAAAAGTTTAGAAAACTGCTTCGGAGTGGCATCTTTAAGCATGACGATGTCTCTCCGCTGAATTTATGCCTACCTCCCAATTCTAGTCTTCAGGTTTTCCAAGAAAAGCAACAGCTCTCTCTGAAATTGCCCATTGGGTTGGATGTGGGTGATTACTGCTATTCACATCTGTGCCATCACCTGTGCTGGGAGTTTGGGGGTTTGGTACAGCGAGCACATTGGTACGTGCCCATCAAAGTTCCCCATGTGTATACGCACAGCGGAAGGTATTTTTGTGGAAGGCATTTTATATAATTCCAAACAATTTAATAGAAATGTAATTCGACTGGGAAAACTACAGTCAGTCGGCCCTTTCAGAGTGCAGATAATGTTCCAGATTAAAGGCTAGAGCTCTGTGTTCATTATAGTCAAATACCACGAGTGTATGAATTACCATTCTCTTTGCCGTTGGTCTATTTCAAAAGTGTGCCATTTTCCCATTATAATAATAGGCTACATTTTCTTAAAATCATTTGATTATGATTGGTCCTGTCTATTCAGTTTGCAAATAAAAAGCTTTTGCGGTGATAAACTAGCTGCTCCCAAATAGCCTTAATCTTTTCTTCTGCTTTTGAAATGCTACAGGTCAGACTGTGGGAAAGGCAGAGAGAAGCCGGTCCTGCTCACGGGAGAAAAAAGAGGTAACCATCCCAGGGGTCATGGGGGAGGCATCACTGTTTGAAAGGACTTGGGGGCTCAGAGTGGTGAATAGGTGTTCTGGGACCTCCTTCTCTTTTCTCTCTGCCAACGCAGTGTCACTTGTAATAACAGTCTCCCACTGAGTCCATCAATTAGCTCTGTGTAACAAATCACCCCAACAGCCCTACATTTAGTCCCTCATTCTGTGGTCAGCAATTTAGTCTTCCTTGGGGTTCTGCCGATGAGGCCAGGCCTCTGCAACTGACTGCTGACACCTGGGGCTAGCCAATGTCAGTCAGAGTGTCTTGGTTCTCCTCCATGTGTTCTGTCATCCTCCAGCAGGTTAGCCAGGTTTGCCCATGCCATGCTTTCTGGCTCCATGAGTAGGAGAGGGATCTCATGAGTTCTGGGCTCAGATCTGGCACATCATCACTTCTGCCTCAAGTGAAAGGGCAATTGTCAAGCTCAGCTTTGGGCCGGGGGCTTCAAAGCAAGTCATAATAAGGTCCACCCAGATTTAAGGGATGGGGAAAAATAAGACAGGCACTACCACTGTTTGCACAGGCCTCACTCTGGATGGGAGGGAAGAATTACAAAATATTGTGACCATTCTTTAAACCTATCCCACTGAGCCCACCTGCATCAGGGGAACTGAGGGGCCTCAGTTGCCATGTGTATGGTTAAGAGAGAGGGGGAGCCTCATTTGTGGTGTGCATGGTTAGGAGAGAGGTGCAACAGAGTCATTAGTGTACCATGAGAGGTGCCATCACGGAAGGACACAGAAAGTGGGCTTGAAATGCAGAAAACATCAACTAACTCTGCTAATAGTATCAATAAAAGCTTTGCAAGCTGGGTGTGGTGCTTCACGCCTGTAATTCTAGCCCTGGGAAAGCCAAGGCAGGAGGATCAAGAGTTCCAGGCCAGCCTGGGCTACATGTTAAACCCCGCCTCAAAAAAAGAAAGAAAAGAAAGAAACAAAAGAAGGGATGGAGGGGCTTTGTGGAAAAGGCAATGTGAAACCATCCCTTGAGTGATGAGTGTTTCCCAGGCCAAGGAAAAAAACAGAGTCAAAGTCAGAGAGTAATGAATAAGGGATATCTCAAGATCCAAGATCTTTTATCCAAGATCAGGCCAGGTAGAAAGTGGTAGCAAAGACCCTAAGTTACCACGAGGCCCTTTGATCAAGTCCCATGCTTGTGGGAGTTTAAACTGGAGTCTTATTTAGTGGAGGGGTGGTGCAGGAGAGTGAAGGCTTGTGGCTTGTCACAAGTGCCCAGCAATCCTGAAACACATCAGCATTTACATACTGATGCTGTAGATTGCAAAATGACATCGTTCCAGTGACAAAAAGGCATTTCCCAGGCCTGGCTGGGTCCAAGGCCTCCAAGATGGCCACAAGACCTGCTCTTTTCTTTTCCATCTCTTGGCTTGCTTTTCCATCTCTTGGCTTGCTTTCCTCCACATGGCTCTCCACCAGTGGAGGAGGTATTGGGGCTGGGCTGCACAAGGCCTTGGTGTTCTCCTGTGACTCTCACCTTCTCCTGCTGTCCTTTCTTGACTGATCCAGAGCAGCCAGTGTGTGTCTTCTTCCTGTCTACATCCATGAGGATGGAGATAGCACTTCAGGGACTTGGATGCTGTTGAGGAGATCTAAATGGTGGGTTCCCCACTCCCTTCTGATGGGGACTTTACTAGAAACAAGGATGGGCTGTCTACCCATAAAGTCCTTGAGGCAGAGGGAATGGAAAAAAATGAGCCCAGGCCTGCAAGTGCCAAAGGTAGAGACCAGTGCCCAAACCAGGAATGAATAGTTTCAACCCAACCCAGGGCTAAGGTTGCAGAATAACAGCTACCCATTTCTCCAGGTTAAGAAATTAGCTGAAGACCATGAGCAAGGTAGTGGGAGTGAGTTGAAATTTGTCTCTGTCTTCCTCCCTCCTTTCTTTCCTCTCTTCCTCCCTCCCCCCCTTCTCCTTGGCAACAAGACTCCCCTAATTGCTTTCCCCAGCTACTCCCATTGTGCCAATTGCCTGAAAGCATTTCAGATCATTCCTCTTCTAAAAAGTGCTTGAAGTAAGAGAAAACAAAGAGTGAGGCTGTTTATCTCAATACCCAGGTTTAATCCTGAAAGATATTTAAGATGGTTTTAGGCCCTCTGAACCCAGGAGTGCTGATTCTCTTAACAGGCTTTGGTTTGGTTAGAAAAACAAAAGAAAAAAAGGACAGCACACTGCCAAGGTTCTCCTGTGCTGCACTAGAACATGCCTTTCCTACCAGCCTTCTTTCTGCATGACTCCCCTCTCACTGTGAAATCTGGCCCTCCTGGCACTCTGCGCCTTATGCAGGATGCCAGGTATGGATCAAGCTATGTCACATGAAAGCCAAAGAGAAGACAAGCTTTCTTCCAGAGCTGATTGGAACAAGCAGCTGGGGACGTGAATTGTGTTCCTTCTGTGGTGAGATTGTTTGAGCCGCTCACTCCCTAGTGGTGACAATGTAGTTTCTGCTCTGGCTCAGATTGGAGACAGTATTTACCTTGGTGGGCATGGGCTGACACAGTGAAGGGAGGGTGGGTGGAATGTTGCTTTCAGTGGGCTTACCAGGCCATATTCAACCCAAAGAGGTATTATGTCTGGTTCATACCCCAGTACAATTTTTTAAAATTAGCAGTCTGCTTTTGAGCATTGGGAGGTTGGTTTCACATTAAAGTTGCAGGCTTTTGGCTTCTTTGGGAAATGAAGAATGATAACACTGAGTTCTTGTTCCTAGGAGGCATCAACAGGCAGTAGCTACTGTTGATGTGACTGGCCCTTTTAAATAGATGCCCCAGTTTGCCATCCCTAGGCCACCCACCTGTCTACAGCGATCACACTGTGTTTCATGCTTTGTGTTCACAAACTGCTCATGCTAGAGTCACCTGCGAACTTTTAACTCTCCTGATGGGCAGGTGTCTTTAAAAATTAAATCAGGCTCTGGAGGGGGGACCCAGACGTCAATTGTATTTCCCATGTATAATCCTGACTCATGACCCTTGTGTGTCCTAGACACAGCACATAGCCTGCTTGGCTCCAGGGACCCCTATTCTATACCCTTCTAGACACCAATAGATGCAAATCAGGAGGGGAAATAATAAACACTGCAGAGGCGCTATTGAAACAAGCAGCTCTGGGGGGGTAGGGAAGAAGGCTTCCCGGAAGAGGCGACCTGGACTGGCATGTGGAGGGTTACAGTCATTTCTGAAAAATGTAGCTGTGATGGTTGGCTTGAAGTCAGTAAATACTTCAGCTGGTAAAAATATTCTCAGCATCATCTCTAACAAGTATTCATGGTTCCTGCCTGTAGAGATTATATAGTGTTTATGACCCCTGGTCATGAATTATTAATGATTTTGAAATTGTGGTCATTGTAGTTTACTCAGAAATCATTAGGAAGCAAATTTATCATATTGTGCTTTTAAAAAATCACAGAGGTGGGCAGAATCTTTATTCTTCATTCAGTGGAACCACCCCCATCACCTGTGTCCACACTGGTGACCAGGGCACTGTGGAGCTCATGGACGTGGTGCTGGGGATGTGTCCTGCACAGAGCCACAGAGGCCCCTGCAGCCTTGTAAATCAGTGTAGCTTGAGGGCTGTGGCCCCTAGCCCCGAGTCCCACTGATCTGCTGCTCACCCTAGCAGTGCAACCTTGGCCAATCCCCTTGGCCTTGGAGCTTGTTTGATAGAACCCACTTTGGAGGCTTGGTAGTTGAACTCAGCAGTGGATTAAGGCAACTGAATGGTGCTTCGCCCATAGCAAGTATCCCACAAATGCTCACCTGCCTGCATTTAACAGAGACCCTCAGGGAGAAGGCAGCATAGTTCCACTCCTTCCTGAGGTCTCCCCAGCCTAGGCTGGACTTCAGTGAACTGTGACCTTCCTGCTCTGTGGCGTCCCAGGCAAGAGACCACAGGCTACTTCCAGGCCCCTTCCTAACCCACTGTGAGCCTCCCATGAGCATGCACTGCTATCTTTTGCAGTTGATGGGAGATTCTGAAAATGCTCTTGACAGTGCACTCATTGAGCTCACTTTGTAAAGGACTGTAGAAGACATTTAACTCACCCACCTAGAAAACTAAGCCTGCATTTGTGCAATGCACCTGTGCACGCACACACACCACTTCCTGTTAGTAGCAGATTTTTGAAGCAAGACAAGAGGCCCCCTTCAGTTTTCTCAGGCAAAGGAGAACACAGGTGTCTCAGGACCACAGCAAAGGAGAGAGGGTGCTTCCAGGAATGAGGTTGTCTGGACAACCCTCTGTCACCTCAATGTTCCTCCACTCCCCTTGGGTCTCTGCACCTTGCTGCTGGCTGGCTGTTCCTTCTGTAAGAGCCCAGTTCAGAGGCCAAAGGGAAAATCTGCTCAGCCTGGCTAGTCAGCACTCGAATGTATTGGGTGTGGGGGATGTAGCTCAGTGGTACAGCTACATGCATGCCTAGCATGCACAAAGCCCTAGGTTTGGTCCCTAGCACTGCAAATAAATCAATAAATCAGAAAGAAAATTTGGAGGATACCACCCCTCAGCTCCCCTCCCAAGAGGCATCCACTTAATCAATTTCTTGCTGTCCAACCATACAGAGCACACGTTCTGCCTCCTCTATCCCTCCCCCTGGCTTAACACAGTAGCTGTGACACACACTTTTTAACACTCAACAACATGTCTTGGAGAGTATCCCATAGCAGCACATGTGGGTGAACTTCCTTGTTTTTTCTGGCTTCATCGTACTCCACTGTGGATGTACCAGAATGTAATCCTTTCTTTGATACCTTTACGACCAAATAGATGTCACTTTTTAGATTTAGAAAGTGATGCCATCCCAGTAGGCCCTGGAGAAGTGCCTGTTATCAAATGCATTAGTCTGTGTGCAGCAAAATATGAACATTCATACTAAGTGAGATAAAGGCTGACGTTTCATGTCAGTTCAGGTCAGATTTTGCTCCTAATTAATTGTGTAAATGTAC